ATTCCACCTCGCTCAAGTTTTTCGCGTAAGAACCTGCATCAGATTCAACATCAGTCAGATGAACAGAGGAAGTAAAACAGTTATATTCACTAAGAAGACATTTAGCAGAGTTATTAGAGTAGTTAGAATTCTCAGTCATTTCAGATTCTCCCTCCTCGTCGTCACTGGAATCAAACCATGTAGCCTTGAACGTCTTGTTCTTCTTCTTGAAGTTAGGACATTCTTTTTGAAAGTGGTCGAATCCCCTGCATTCACGACATTGTTCTTTTTCAAAACCCTGGTTCAAATTCTGAGATTTGCTCAGTTGCATGCTGGAACTTTTATCTCCAAATTGCAGAAGCTGGTTCCTACCACTTTCAAAGGATTTGTTTCCCTGGAACTTTTTCTTCTGGAACTTCTTTAGCTTCGAGACATTCTTGGTGAGTACAGTGAGAGCCTTGGTGATTTCATCAGGATCAAAAGATTCCTCATCGGATTCTTCATCTTCAGCTACTGAAGTACGCACCTTGGCCTTTAACGTTAAGCCTTTCCCTTTGCTTATTCTCATAGAGTCGAATCCATGATTGATTTCAAAAGTGCGAAGCTCACTGAGAAGATCATCAATACCAAGTTTCTGAATTCTCTGAAAACTTTCTAGTGCTGTAATCTTGATCCCAAACCTATCCGGTAGAGTTCTCATTAATTTCTTAACTTGTCTAGCTTCTGGGACCGGTTCGCCAAGCATAGCACTTTGGTTTACTAGATCGCAGAACCGATCATAGTACATGTCAATGGTTTCATCCTCCCTCATACGGATCTCATCAAGCTCAGTTGAGACTCTTTGGAGCTTTGACGTTTTAACCGCGTTTGTTCCTTCAAACTGTCTTTCCAAGATTCTCCAAGCTTCTTGAGCGGTAGTGCACTGAATTATTATCTTGTGCTGGGTGGGATCTACAGCAGACATAATAGCATATAAAGCTCGAAAATTAGCCTCTTCTGCTTGCTTTTCATCGTCGGTCCAGATACTCCTTGGTTTTTCAACCAGTACTTTGGTAGTTGACGATTTCCCATCCGAGGACTCACCACCCTTAGTTTCAGCAGGAACTTTTTCTTGGATGGGTAAAGTCCAACCATTCTCAACAGCCTGCCATGTGCCTTTACCAAGAGATCAAAGGAAGATCACCATCATGGATTTTCAGTACGAGTAGTTGGAACCATCAAGAAATGGAGGGTGCGTAACAGACATCCCATGATGACTCATGGTGCCCGATACAGAGTCCCAAAGATCTTCATCCCGTAGTTAGAACAGAAACACTGCTCTGGTGCCAATTGAAACTTATAATTATCACAGAGTGCGCTGATTGTAGTACGAACTAAATTAAGAACTGAAGAATGCAGAAGCAATAAACCGAAGATTTAAAAAACTCTTCAGGGAAGCATCCCACTTCCCCTCAGAGCTCTTTCATTGATAGATCAAACACGAACATAGTTTGGACTTACAAAGACTCGAACTCCCTTCAAGCCTAGCCAACACTACTCACGATCCTATCAACTATTTCTCCGGCCACGTCCCGTGGACTTTTTATCCTACACTTACTCCCTAAGGGTAAAAGTAAAAGATAGTTTGATGAAACAAATAAACTAAGCAAAAAACAGCTTCAGTCCTTGAGTTTGTAAGAACTCTCGTACTGAACTGTATACCACCGAATAGAACAGAAAATATGAAGCTCAAATATTGTTCTAAAAATTTCTCTAACTTCAGCAGCCGCAATAGGAGCTTCCTCTAGGGTATTTATATAAACTCCTTAGGGTTGGAGTCTTCTACAAGGCATAGGACTCCAAGCTTGATTTTCTTCCATAAGAATAGCATATCTTTGGCAAGTAAATCTTTTTTTCTCCCTCTTTGATTCCCTATCCATGCACGCCTCTTCTCTCCTCTATCTTTATCACGTCCGATTTCCTACAAAATAAAATATCATAATAAGACCCACAATATCTTATATATGGAATATGAAATAAACTCAATTAAGGAAATAAAATAAATAAAGATCTCCCCTTTATTTCTGTGGTTCCAGGTGTTTGTTCGAACTGACGAACTAATGCCAAATAAAAATCTTTCAACTATGAATATTAGTATTATAAGTAAATTTCATATCAATATTTTACGCACCATATAAAATACTAAATTGATTTGTTTGGTATTATTACCATCTCTCACTAGTTTTTTTTTTTTTTTT